TTACTTAAATTACTTAAATATATCTTAGGGAGGCCATGCAAAACAAGCCGTCATCTTATTTAATGTTGTGTATTGTCAAATTAAGATCATTTTTAAAAAGATTAAGTTTTAATAATGGCTTATGCGTATTCAAATGCAGATGGAAGGTCATCCAACTCCAAATCCAAGAAATGTTTTTCAACATCTTTCAGTCAGGCTCATTTCAGAAAGGTCCAAGTCCTGGAGGATATTTGAGTGTTAGAACGCCTGATTTGGAAGAAGCTATTGTACACGAAATTGAAGAAGAGCCAAATACTAGTATTAGAAAGATAGTTGCAAATCTTAATGTTATTCATAATCATAAATTAATTTGGTCCGTTCTAGAGCGGTGCCTTCTACAGACATGTTTTTGAAAACGTTTTACCTGAACTACTCTCCCACATTTTAATTTGACTGCTCGTGAATTTTTAAATGAAAGTTCCAGAAAGAACCAGATCAATCTTGGCCACCCAGATCGCCCGATGTGAACCCTATTGACTTTTTTGTTTGGGGACATCTCAAGACATTAGTTTACAAGGTTCACATGTAGGAAATTCCTAGATGTATAAAAAATATTTTTTTGCACACATTTTTTAACTGTCTAGTAAATATAATTGACAATTACAACTATTATACGTCTGTCACCTTGTTAAAAGATACCAATTTGCATATTATCGAGGTTTTGCATCCAACAACATTGTTGCTCCTTCTGGGGTGCCTCAAAGCTCTGTATTTAGGACCATTGCTATTCAATATTTATATTAGTACACTTAGTTATATGATGTCATTTGTTTTCCATATAATTTCATTTTAAAACAAAAGAAGAAGGAAAGAAAATAAATGAATTTTAAAATGGATTTTTTCACACTAAAATTTTAAGATTATATAAAATAATTTTCTCCAGTACCAGTGTTCCACTGTTCTTAACATTATTTTGTCTCGTCTTTTCATTAACAAAATCCCTTTAGGGAAGTGACGCCTTGTCACTTTCATGCTAAACAAACAAAAACCAAACGTAATCCCTTCAACTGGACTAAATAGTAGTCGCACACACACGCAGTCAAGTGACTGACACCATGAATGGTTCTGTATGTACCCGCCGATCTTTATACGCCGTTTAAACACAATACTATAATCCGTCACTAATGCGATTATCGAGAAAAGATTCGAGGATTACGGATTCTTTTGGAAACGGTGTCAGCTGGAGCGACTGAGAATGACCAGTTCATAAAGGACGTAAGGCCTATTAGCTGCCTGCTGTCGACGCTGCTGGGGCCACCTATTTTGTCGAGAACATATAATCTGTTTCCGAATGTGATGGCCCTTTCGGTTAAAGCTCCCCTAGAAATGTGGAAATGTCAGTTGTAGCAGCTAAATACGAATAATCTAGGATTGTATTGGATAAGCAAGAGCAACATTGAGTTAATTCAATTGGAGATAAAAGCATACAAATAGAATACTATGAATGTTCAGTTGCAGTTGCTTTTCAACTTAACCTTAAAAATATTTTACTATAATAAATATGTATATATAAGTTTTGCTAATGAGTAAAGGTGGCAGTTTTATGTATATGAATTAACAAGATATTTTACCTGACAACCTATCAGTGTTTATGTCACCTAATTTAATCAAATATGTAGTAGTGTAAATTATACGAAATGATACTTGGACATTTAAACTAAAACCAAAATATAAGTGTCGTCTGCATAGTGATGCATTACAAAGAGAAACTAATTTCTAGAAATCTTAAATAAATATAGAAAATAGCAAGGAGCCTAAAACAGATCCCTGTGGGACTTTGTATTGAGAGATAAAAGCTCAGATGCTTTGGATTTTAAGTGTACCATTTGAGTTCGATGAGATAACTTTCCATAAGAGCGATGTACAACGTAAATCATACCCAAAATAATCAGCATTATGAAGTACATCATCGACTACACGAGATAAAGCTGTGACAGTGCTGTTATTTGATCTAAATACTGACTGAATTGGAGGAATAATATTTTATGTAAATTATAATCAGTAGTAGTGGATTTTTTAAGATCTTCCATATAACTTATGGAAAATTTCAGAATTCAAACAGAGCAGCACTTGCACAACATTGATATCGTAAATTTTCCCGCAAATTGTATTATCCTTTCTCTGAAGGTGTTCTAAAGTAGGTCCTTCCAAATCTCAGAAAATAATGATTAGGAGCTTTCCAATGGAAAACGTACTCTTAAGTTTCTAAATTGAAGAAAGGTTTGAGTCAGAATCTGGGCACTATTCTCCCATTTTGCAAGTGTCAAATATTTAGGATATTCTAGCTTGATTTATAGGTTTTCTTAGCAACTATCACTGGTTACTTGTTGGGGGTTTAGATATCTTGACCTTTGGTCTCTCCTCCTCAGAAAAAATCTTGGAGATAGGAATGGGACTGAATCATCTGGTTGGTATTTATCTTTGCTGTTTGTACCCGTCCATGGTCTTTTGGTGTAAGTTGAAGGCTGTCTAGATCTCTTATATGAATTGTTTCCATTTAACTGATTAGTGTACCTTTCATTAAATAGAGTCTGGATACTATTATTGTTTTAATTGATACCTTGCTTGCCAAACAATTCTATTTTTCCAGAAAAAATCCTGATGCTTATAAAGTAGATGAATAAAGAATAAATTTTAGTAAATTGATTTTATCACTGGTTATATTGATGATTTCATGTTTGGAGCTGTCTAGACCACCGAAAGGTTCGGAGTATTTTGAGTTTGATAGTGAAGCAACAGGAAATGGCAAAAAAACATTTTGATGTTGATATTAACAATAACGTGAATAACGTGAGTCCCTTTGCCTCGCACGATTCAAGTGCTTGATTAACGTAAGCAGCTAGGATTTCCTAGCTTAGAATAGACGAATTAATTGAAAAATATTACATGTATTTCAGTGTCAACTGATTAAATCTTGGAATCAACTAAACTTTAACTGGTAATATACTAAAAAAATATTGTCCAAACAAATATATTCGTTAAAGGAGAGAAAAAATGCTTTAAATTAATACATTGAGTGGATGTCAGATAAACTCAAAACTTTAATTTTTTTCTTTTCTGTAAGTTTAAAAAAAATAATAGAAGATTATTTTGCTTCAGAATCGGACGATTAAAAATGTTTTGCCAACTTCCTCATCATTAGACCACCTGCGTATAAATTGGCCAATTATCTATCCCATCATTTTAGCATCTGCTTTCCGTCGCTCTAAACCTATTATAAGGCCGCCGCAATTAAATTTTTACCTTTTAGCTCTTAATTTTCCCCAAACCATTTCTGAAAACACTTAAAATCGTCACACAACTGCACGTAGATGTCCAAAATATTTTAGTGATAGGTTTTGGCGTCATATGGCAAACAAGGCAGCTTCTTGAGAAGACAAAGCTATTGAAAAGTTATTATATTGATATAATAAGGGATCGAATTTAATAGCATATTGGAATAATGTCTTCTTTGTCCTTTGTTTAAAGGAAATAGTTTACTTGAACGTTTAAAATCACTGTTTCTCAGTGTAACCTATTTTTTTCCTTCAAATGTAACCTCTCCAATTGATTTTTAAGTAAAAGTGTGCCCATCGGAATAAGCATAAACAAACTGTAGTAGCGAAGGCCGTTGAGACTCATCGATACATATTGAAAAAGTCCCTTACAAGTAACAACACTTAGCGAACACACTCGCGGCACCATCCTCACAAGCGGTCGACGGTCAGCACTAAGAAGGCGAGTCAATTTTTTTTCTTCTAACGAGTATTGCTCTTATCACAGGCGTCGGCTCTACTTGTGACCGTATGATTGACAATTAATCCGTGTTATAAGAGTAAACGAAAAATGTCTCTTGTCATTTACGGTCCTACATTTGGACCGTATGCGTGGCGGGTTGTTTGCGCGAATTCCGATTTTCTTGTTGTGCGGCATGAGCTAAATCCATGTGTCAGAGAATGATAGCAGAGTATAGCCGGTAAGTCCTTCATGAAATCACAGTGCAACAGAGGTTTGTTATTTGTCTCCCACATTTAACAATAATAAGATTCCTCATCACTTTAACACTATTTTAATAATAATAATAATATAAATGTCAGAAATATAATTAAAGATATAAGTAAATAATGTTCTTTTGGTGGATGATTTATTTTCTGTCTCTGACTACAGCTGCTTCAAACAAACCGATTATTTGATGGCGATGGTAAGAACAATAGTTGTTTTTCTGAACGCATGGCATTGACGGTTGGTTTCGTAAGAAAAATGCAAAACAGTAGTAAAATTATTGCACATACAGGAGCATGCGAGATTATGAAATAAATATTTGTGGAATGCGTTTGTGGGATTCAAATGAAACCACTAATAAAACCAAACAATAAACATAAATTGGCAGCTGTAATTTTTAACAAATCGACGAATATTTGCATACTGCGTATTGTTTTATTTATACGTCAGATTGCTAAATTGTGGATTTCATCACGGACAAGGAGGAATTTTTAATGCACACATCCAATAACCCACACATAAACACCTTTTATTATACAGAGTGTTTGCCATTTAAACAACGAACACATGAAAAATATAAATAATGAAATAATTAAACGATTCAAATATGGCAGCTTTGGTTATTATGATACCAGAACATGTCAAAGTGACATTTTAATAATATTTTCGACTATTCTTTGAAATAATGTTGGAAAGACTTTACTTAAGAGATGTTTAAATAAATGGGTAAATATTACACCATATTCCGAGTTTTTTCTAAAAGTAATTCATTGTTGCAACCAACAAAACCGTTACAGCCCAGTGCATGTATTTGTTTCAATTATACTGTATATTCTGCGGTAAAACATTATTCTGAAATCCGATACCGCTGACGTAAATCGATACTTCCAACTGGTTTATTTACTAGGAATTAAACATATATCCATGTCGCATTATTCGTTTGATTTTATTTATTTACATGCCTTTTCTGTTTGTTGCAGGATACTAAAACGACCAGGCAAAGCGATACTTTATTTATTCATTATCATGGTGAGTACGGCCCACTATTCTTTTTTAATACGAGGGAATTGAAAAAACACCCAACTCAAACAAAAATGTTTAACCATATTTTGCTAAATTTTGCCAACTTATATCCTGTGGTATCAAATAAGATTATTATATTTGTGTTTGACAAAAGAAATAATAATGGATTACTACTATAGCGTCACTAAGAAATTTAGAAATGTGTCTCATTTTGTTGTAGTTTGTGGCTTTCAAACGCGACAGTACCTAATATTGTCAATTCCTTCTTTTCGATATACTGACTATGTAATCGACGCTTTTAGGTTATTTAAAATTTGATGTCTGTTTCTGCCAAAATAATCGAAATTGTTCATTTCGACCATATACCTCGGAATATTACACTCAGTGAACATAAAGACTAGATTAAATAAAAATATCCAGTATGGCAGTTGTAAGAGTAGATTTATTTTATGTCTTTCAATATGTTATCAAGAACGACGTTTCATTACTGTCCATCACAATGTAAACGAGGGAAATGTTTATTAAATTTGTTAATAAGATGACATATTTTTAAATTTCGTTAATTATAGTGACCCGTATCGATTTATGTAATACAATAAATGACCACGACGGTGATTCTTTACCTTCTTTTTTTAAACACTGAAGCGAAATACAAATTACAAAATTGTAAAATTGTTTTACTTACCAAACAATAAATAAATTATTTAAGTTTTCAACTCATCAAAAAGCTGGATCCCCAAAATCATTTTTCTTTAAAAAATTACTTGTCTTGTTAGGTCATATTCCATGGAAGTGATGAAATTGGTAGTATCCAACATGAGTTAAGACAAATACTAGTTATGTAGCTGCAAATGAAGAAAATATATAAAAGTAAAAGCACAATTTGTCAACCAAAATTATAGAAAAATTGAGCTATAGCACTATTGCCACATTTGTAATTACTATCGAAAAATAATAATTATTATTTTTGCACAAATAAGTAAAAGTTTATATTTCTAAATGTTCCGAGGTACTGCTAACTTTCTATTCAAAGATTCATTTTTAGTTTAAACAGTTAAAATTATTATTCAAATGAATTCAATAGTCAATATTTAGAAATTATGAAGGTGGTAATTCGGATTCCGGACTCTATTTATTTTTCTTAAATGTTTATCCAATACAGTAATGAAAAAGTATCCATTTGAGCAGTGAATTAACCATAAAAACAACAAATCGTCAAGGAATTATTTTGTTTGGGGCGGGTATATTTTGAAAGTTCCCTCGTAATATTGGATTTGTACCGTGTCAACTTATCACGCTTATTTTTCACTTTCAAATTGATTTAAATTTCAATATCAGTGGTTCGATTGAGCTATAAATATCGTATATTATCAAGATAATGTCCGTAATTATTTATCTAAAAAGGTAACAAACGGATGAGAGGTGTGTTATTTTATCGGCTGTCGTATGTAGAACTTTCCCAGAAATTTATTAGTCCTGCCTCAGTTTTTCTATCTTTAGTAGATTGTAGTACATTTATTAATTTAATAAGGATTATTTATAAAGATATAGGAAGTGTTACATGTGAACTTAAATTTGATTTCACTCATTTTTCACATATCGATTTAACGTACATCTAATTTAAACCGTTTGGATAAACTTTCATTTATTTTGTTAAATCGATAGAATGTCAAATTCAATAGCAATTTAGTACATAATAACGGTGTGTTTTTAACCTAAAGCTTTCAAATATCTCGAAAAATACGTACCCTAAAAAAATGTTAGTAGTCACAATTTAATTATTCCGCTAAAATTAGTCCCTCTCCCCACCCCTTGAAGTTGGGGAGGGGGGTAACTTTGAAATCTTAAATAGGAACCCCCATTTTTTATTGCAGATTCAGTTAAAAGTGCATGGGATTTGCCAGTAACAATTTTTTATATTCATTATAATCGACGAAATTTTTCTCCATTTCTCCTACTGAGAAATAACACAAACGTTAAATGTACATTTAATAAAACATATTTATAAAAATTACTTTTTACGATAATATTAGTTTCTTAACGTAATTTTTCAGTAATTGAAAATTTGAGAACTAAAATTTGTTTTGAAACAAATTTTGATTATTTACAGTGCAAACGTGGTATATTTTATTACAAACGTATTTCAAAATCGTACGCATAGGTTCAGTAAGAGAAATTGAAAAAAATTAATCGATTACATCTCTCATACAGTTACAAAACAAATTCCGAAATTTTACTTTTTTTCAGTATCGCAATAAAAAATAATTAGAATAATTTTAGACTTTTGCAGTATGATATTTTCTCATTAATTTATTTTTTTATATTATCAATAACTTCTCAAACTCAGTTATATGGATAAGCTGTAACCACAAGCACGACAGTTTCGCATTGTTATGTATCTGTTACAAAATTAACTTTCACCTCCTTAACCTTAGCTAGTGATCTTTGACCTGTCCTCGTTGTTCTCGAGCTAGACTCTGTGGGGCGGACTCTTGTTTCTTTTGCTAGTAACTTTAATACTGACATTTCTCTTTAAAAATTACTTATTAGATATTTGAACAAGTATTTTTATTTACAGCTCTTGTTCATCGTGAAGGAATCGTATGGCCATGACAAGTGCTACTGGCCTTGTTTTGGGCCCGTGTGGAAGGTCAAAATTTATAACGAACTTGCCAAGGGATATCTTCATGTAGAGGGCAACACCGTAGTGGCTAACTACACAGGAGATGGTGAGTGTTAATAAATACATACATCTCTTTCCTTTACTGAAATTGCTCTGCAAAATTTCAATTTTTACATGCTATTTGTAATTTGAAGCTTTATTTATGCACGCACTTGTTGCAGGAACTCTCTACAAAATTTCCAAAGGCGCAAGCTTTTACCTTTATGATGCCAATGCTGCTAAGTTTATATGTTGGAGTAATAGACGGAATAAGAAACCGGCACTAGTGGCAAGGGTAAGTTTATTTAATTACTTATTTTACTTTTTTAACGTTACAAAGTTTATAAAACCTTACGTTGCAGATACTTTAACCTAGGAGTATATTTCATAAGAGGCAAGTTTTTTGAGTAAGATCAGTTTTAAAAAATAGAAATATATTACAGGGCGCCTATTAATTGTGACATGTTTTCTAAGGTCATACTTGTTCTCCAATACCATCGTGTTCTTGTAAAATATCGCTTGACCTTACACAACAGTTCAAATAGTTGTTAGATAGATTTGATTGGAGGATAGGAGCAAGGACGTTGAATTAATAAGTCATTCTTATTGTATAGTTTTAGTTTCTTTATCATAAAACTGGCCTTACATAAAAATACATCCTGTATTAAATACTCCACTTTATAATAGGATCGTTATTTTAACTAAAGACACAGCAATTATTCTTGTTTAAGTGTACTTTATGTTCTTAGTTTAAACTTTCTTTCCTAAACTATTCAAAATAAAACATGACACTGTTGCCAATTAATTTAGTAGTCAACATGCAATATTGTGCATGCTGCATAATTTACAATCGTATAAAAATTTTAATATTTCTATTTACATGCAACATTATTTATACACGTACCTGCAACACAGCTGTTGTTTGACTAGATTTTTGTTTTTAAAGACAACCGAGGTTGAAGAATGGTCCTAAATAGTGTAATTATCATATAGTTTCTTACATTTGCAAAGGTGTCCGGAAGACGATAACAAACATGACATAATAGCAATGCTACGATGACATTTATGGGTATTTCTTGACAGCGTTATATTATTTTCTTAAAACGCATCTGATAGTTCTATAATCATTCAAAGATTGGAAGTGACAGACATTTTTTGATCATATAAATTCCAAATATCATAACCAATTTTTCTTGTTAGTTTGTGGTGCACCATAAAAAGTTTGAAATCGCCATCTTTAATGATTCTTCAGTAAATGATTGACATCCAACATTTGAAGGATCGTTGAGTGCTAAGGAATCGTTTTAGAAGTTAATGAGAGGAGTCATTCTTTAGTCTATCGCAGTGTTGTCGTAAAACGTATAATTTTTAGTAGAAAACCGTATACACGGTGTTTTACAAGCTCTATGATAGATGATTCGTTTTTGTTTAAAAGTTACAATCATTTTAAAATACATCATTTCATATTTGAATCAAAGTAGATTGGTAAATAAAAATGATGGTTGCTATAACAATAATTATTATTTGTGTGATTTATTTATTAATTTGACATTTAGCGTTACAGTGCTAAATAAAAAATGCATTTATTTACTACTGAAAAGTATGCAGATATTGTCTTTGCTAGACAAGCAGCTCGAGAATACCGATGAAGATGCCCAAATAATAGACATCAACCTGCCCGCACAATCTTTAGTGCATCATTTCGTAGACTTCGAGAAGGTAACCTCGCTCTAAAAAAGGCCATTCGTCCTACTGAAGCGAATATACAAAATAAATAAGATATAATAAGATGGTGTTAGTGACAACTCTTCAAGTAGTGTTCGGCGTATAGCAAGTAATCTTCAATTATCAAGGAATTTTGTGTGGCGTCTATTGAACAGAGAAATGTTACATCAGTTTCGTCGCCGAAATCTACAAGCGATACATGCTGGTTACTTCAACAACATGCGCAAAATGATAGATTCTTTTCGCTTGTCATGTGGTCAATAATCACAATGAACATATCTGGGAGTTACAAAATCTGGATGGAATTAGATCGAGACGATTTCATCAGCGTTTCAGTGTCGACGGTTGGGGTAGCATTTTCATCGATCGTAAATGATTCTTTGAATGCAGATCTGTATAGAACTTTCTTTGAAAACAACCTCTTTGACTTCATCGATGAAGTAGGGCTTAATATTGTTCAAAATTTGTGGTATCAGTACGATGGTGCACCACCACATAGAGGGAGACAAATAACTGTTTGGTTAAATGATCATTTCCCGAACAAATTGATATGTCATCACGGTCCAATAGCATGGCTACCGCGTTCCCCAGATCTAAATCCTTTGGACTTTTATTTATGGGAACATATCAAGCAGCTTGTCTACCAAATTCGAAATCATTGTCCGTCAGCAGTTACTTGAAAGAATTCAGGTTGCATCTAACCAGATAAGAAATGATGCAAATCTCATACGTGAAGTGATGGAATCTTTAATTAGCGAATATGAACCTTATATTCGAGCCAAGGGTGACACATTTTGAATAACTTGTATAGTCTTCAGGTTTCTTAATTTGGTTAATAAAGGTTATCTAATGTTAACCAATTCTATCATTTTCATTTATCAGGCTACTTTGATTGAAATATGAAATTATATTTTTTTAAATGCTTGTAACTTTTAAACAGAAACTTATCGGATCTATGTCCATATAAGAAAAGGTGTTTGAAATTAACCCAGTTATCATATGTCAAAGTTTGTTATATAGGCTATTGACTATGTAAAAAAAGAGGGTACAAAGGACCTACAACGTAACAGAAATTTTATTGTTTGATATGTTCAATTGACCCTAAAAAATGATAAAACCACGGAGTGCTACCTTTTAAAGGGGTGCGTTTTTGAGAACGAAGTAAAAAGGTGGTATTTACAGTTTTTTGAGTTTTACTCGAAAACTATGCATTTTTTCACCTTCTGAAGTCAAAAAAAAATATTTTTAACAAAAATATGCCCAAAAAAACGAGTAAAAAAAAACGAAAAAATTGCGTTTTTTTTTTGTTTTTGGCCCACAACTTTTTTCTGAGAGGAGTTAGGTATAGGTATTGCTTCACAGAAAAAAAGTTAATGTTTTTTCCTTTAAAATAAGCGTTTATAAAAGTACCTACGACTAATAGAAACCGAAATACATTGAATCAAAGTTGGCTACTTTTTGGATTTTAGGCCAATTTTTTGCCCTTTTTTGACGATTTTCATCTTAACTTTTTTCTGAGTTAATTTAGGTATATGTAATGCCATATTCAAATTAAAGCTGGTTTCAAGACCTTTAAAATGGTGCCTGGTAGAAATTTGTACAATTAAAGTCAACCGAGATATGTCAATTTAACCAACGATACTTTTCTCATTTTTATAAAAAAAATTTATTATTTTGTCTAATAAATTTATTTTTGTGAATGTGAAAGTTAAAATAAGTTTCTAGGTGATCGGATAATATTATTTATTTATTTAAACAACAATTAATCATATTTATCTTGTAAAATTTCGAATTTTAATAATTTTTGTACTTTTAATTAAAAAATTTACCTTTAAATTTACTTGAAAAAATAGCCTGCAAATGTATTAAAGGATGCCAAGGAAACTGTGGCTGCCGAAAGTTGGTAATAAAATGTTCAGTGTCCCGCAAAGAATGTATGGGAATAAATTGTGAGAATGCTTATGAGCCTAATTTTTCTGAAGAGGACATTGATGAAAATGATGACGACGAAATTGTTATTAATATTGAAAATATACTAAATGAAAATATATGATTAGCTGTTGTTTAAATAAATAAATATCCAATCACCTAGAAACTTATTTTAACTTTCACATTCACAAAAATAACTTTATTAGACAAAATAATACCGAAAGTAAGAAAAATTTTATAAAAATAAGAAAAAGTATCGTTGGTTAAATTGACATATCTCGGTTGATTTTAATTGTACAAACTTCTACCAGGCACCATTTTAAAGGTCTTGAAACCAGCTTTCATTTGATTAAGGCATTACATATGCCTGAATTAACTCAGAAAAAAGCTATGAGACGAAAATCGTCAAAAAAGGGCAACAAAATTGGCCAAAAATCCAAAAAGTAGCCAACTTTGATCCAATGTATCTCGGTTTCTATTAGTCGTAGGTACTTTTAGAAACGCTTATTTTAAAGGAAAAAACATTAACTTTTTTTCTGTGAAGCAATGCCTATACCTAACTCCTCTCATAAAAAAGTTGTGGGCCAAAAACAAAAAAAAAACGCATATTTTCGGTTTTTTACTCGGTTTTGGGCATATTTTTGTTAAAAAAAATATTTTTTGTCTCTTTTCGATGAGAAATTCAATTTGCTACAACTTTACTGCTGACAACTATAATGAAAAAATGCATAGTTTTCGAGTAAAACTCAAAAAACTGAAAGTACCGCCTTTTTACTTCGTTCTCAAAAACGCACCCCCTTTAAAAGGTAGCACTCCGCGGTTTTATCATTTTTTAGGGTCAATTGAACATATCAAACAATAAAATTTCTGTTACGTTGTAGTTCCTATCTAAAGTGCATAGTCGATAGCCTAATAGGGGTTGTAGAAGACCCTGTATTTTAAATATAATAGCAATATTGATATGTGCCATTTTTCTTTGCAGAAATACAAATTCAACTCTCTGGGCCTCTGCGAATTCAAAGACATGGTATCGACGAACCACCGGAACAGCCACGTCCACCTCCTGGCTTCCTTCAGCAAGGACAGGAACAAGGACAGGGACGTGATGATGATGAAGTTCAACAAGAACGGGAGGTTTTCGACGAAGAATTGCACCCAGCACAAGTCGCGGCACCAGCACAAGAAGTGCGTATCGGCGGCGGATTTTTTAGTGATCCCCGCCCTCAACGCCAACGACGATCCCTGCGGGTGTCCAGAGGCCAAGAACTACTTCTGTCAGACGAAGCTTAGGAATATGCCCGAACTGCATGAAATCTGCAACCTAACCTGGCCTAGGTCGAACGAGACGTACGAAACCTAGTTTAGGTCACTCCACCTGTACAGTCACAATAGATTAACTGGATACAGTTTAGGAGCCCACCAGTCACAGTCTCGTGGACTGTGGCGTAAATTTTTTAACGCCCGATGGGAAGACGAAGACTTGTCGCTCTGAGTCATCCCATCGGGACGTTTTACGGAATTTTCAATAATACTCTAAGCCAAAACGTACTATGTCAGAATATTCACTGAATGTTTATAATAACTTGGATGTGTGCGTTGTAGTAAGGTAAGTTTTTGTACATATTATTTTAATGGATTTATATGAAGTAATTGAGTTCGAAAGTATTTGTAGAATATCCTAGTCAGAATACAGATATTCTTTAGAATATTTATATGTTAATATTTCTACTAACTTCAAAGTTTTTGTAAACGTTCTAATTTGTGTATACTGACATCGAGCTTGTATAACAGAAGCTAAAAGCATAGTTGATCAATGTAATAAACAGTACATCTACGAACTTTACTCATATTTTTTGGTATCTCAGGCATTTTTCCTTATCGCTGTCAATCAATGCTGCTAATTTTGGATTACTGTCTTGAACTTTGAGTTAAATATTACCAATTATTATGGTTTTACGTCTGTTACTGATTTCTAAAATTTAATACTTATGAGATACCAAAAATCTGAAAAGTTTATTGCTTCCTGTTTGAAATTATTAAGGCTGATTTTGATTTATTGAATAGTTATGCCGCAGAGCGTATATGTATAGTATTACTATTGGTTGAAGGATATTTTTGTAACAAAATAGGCCGAAATTAACGATACAAAAAATCTGTTCTGACTGTACCTAAGAATGTTAATAATGTCAGTATTTTTTGTGTATGAAAAGTCAGCATGTATGTATTTGTACAAATGTTATTATACTTTTATACTATATTTTAATTTATTTTTCTATAATTTAATTTTTTGTATAATTTGTGAATTATAGTACTTTTAAGTTACGAATGTGAATGTACAGTTTTTTTATTTTTGACCCCTATGGGGTTTGTCGAACACATTCTAACTTCTGTAAATTATTATTTATTTTTGTGAATATTCCTAGAAGGGCACCTAAAAAAATTAAAATTGATATTTATAAGATTTCCTTAGAAGGTGTCCGCTTTATCCATGTTTTAATGGTTTCTAACAATTCAATTGCAAATACCAAATAATGAATGAGGCAGTGAACATTATAAAAATTTTGATAAGATTGTGAAAAAGGTTTATCCGATGTTAAATGTAAGCCTCGTGTTTGTTATAAGATCTGTAGGCATTATTGTCTTTTATTTATACAATACATTCCAACTCATATATGCATTTACAATAAAATACATAATAAAAACCCGTACTTTCATTTCCACCACACCTTACTTAGAAAATAATTCCAGTTTATATCAGTATTTCTATTACATTTTAGTTGTATTTCCAAGTACTTGAATATCTATTATCTGGTACTCAATGGAGATTAAATATTCGGCGTCGTGTACAAAGGTAAAAAATGATATTTATAGAATATAGACATGGAATACAGTAATACTATTTAAAAGTAGAACAAGGAGCGAAAATTGTGAATATATATCAGAAAATGTATTACCAAAAGCTTTACGAAAGGTAAGTGGAAAATTATTTACTCATAAGATAATTTTAAGTATTCCCATTTGCGCTGCCAAGGAAAAAAAAAGACAAAAGTTCGGGGTTATTAAAACTTCATAAACTGTGAAGAGATTAACTGAAAGTTTCAGGGAGACTGAAACAACCTAAACTTGGATAAATAGCGCCAATAAATAAACAACACTTTCGTTAGTTTTAAACTTACACAATAACCATCAATTTTTTGTACTGAATTCATTTATGTAAAGAACACTATAGCATTGGGTTTAAAGTTTTTAAGAAAAATCCATAAAACGGCGTTCTTTTGAAGTAACGCCATCTATATATTTTCATATTGACGTAAATGAGATTTGCGTCTACTAGCGGTCGAGCTACGAACTTGAAAACTATTTCCAGCGATTTCTCTTGGTCGATTTATTAATCAAATTTTTTTTCCCGAAACTCCCGAAGCTCTAGAGCCTATACTTTCTCTAATATCGTACCTCACCGACCTTAATGGGACACCCTGTATACTTTATGAATTAAATTTTCTATTAAAATTACTTACGTGAATTTTGGAACGCCCGTTATAAAATGTTGAATCGTGCAATAAAAACACAGATGATGATCATTATTTTACACTTTTTATGTTGTGTTTTTTTTTCATTGTCAAAGCAACAAGTGTACAACTGATAATAAACAAAATCAAATTTATTTTTCTTTAATCAAAAATATCTAGTTACCGGGCTTCAAGGGGACTTTAAATATAAATTTTTCTAATTTTAAAGACAGCAGTTACAAACAGGTAAGATATCTGTACTATGCCTTATATTTCATTTATTACTATGCCACGAATTTTATTTGTAGGATTAAATAAAGGATATAAAAAAATAGGGCGCCTCATGCTAATCAGTTTAGATTATCTCGATCCATGCGCGGATAACTTTTTATGTAAACAGATACGTAGATGAGAATTAAATTCTCATCTACTGAGTATTAGAGGAGATTATAAATTAATAATATTATCCGACTTTCACCCCTGACAGTTCCAAAACTAAATTTATTTATTGCTGCTGTAAGAACAAGTAATTTTCCAGTAATTCATACAGGGTGGCCAAAGCGTAATAGCTGTAACATTCTCAAAAATTTGATTAAAAACAGCATTTTCTAATTATTTTCACGTGAACATTTTTTTTTAATGAGGTAATTATTAATTGAACTGAAGTTTTTAGAAAATTAAATTGAATTTTGAAGACGGCTACTGATTATGAAAACTTTATTTATTTATTATGGATAACATTGCTTTTTTTATTAATTAAGAAAGAAAGCGAAATATTTCATACTGTCTTTCATACTGCCAAATACTTTGGTTCTAACTTTGAATCCGCAAGTCTAGAGAATTCCATAGATGATTGGCAACATTGCAGCCAAATAAAAAACTATGACTGTAAACTGAATTTTATCGCAAATTCATGTATGTCAAAATATACAGGGTGTATCGCATAAGAACCGACACATAGTAGGGGTATGTAGGGAAACCCAAAATATGGTGATTTAACACAACTTACCTTTATCTAAGTTGTAGTCCTTGAAAGTGGGGTTTAAAATTTCTTTATTTTAAGGGGAATTTAATTCTAAAACTTTTTTTACTCTTGTTAGTTTCCAAAAAACATTGTCGTTTTCAACAAAAACACGAAGAACGAAAATTCAAAAGTTGGCTGTGAATTTAAACGTCAAACCTGACGATAGGGAAAAGGTCATTTATCTGCTCCCATTATAATAAATAGACTATTAATACATTGTTTTTAAGGAGGTAAGTGGATTTTACCGTAGAAGTGAAAGTTGCTATGGACAACGGGAGGTGAGGTAACTTACCTCCCTAGGGAAAAAAGCGATTTCGAATTATAAATGCATATTTTATGAACAAATAAATAGAAATATTTGTTGAACATTACATTTTATTAGTTATTATGAATGAATATTTATAGTAATTGTACAGTTATTACATTTTGTAACATTTATAAAATCTGGATAATTATTCCCCTCGCGTTTACTAATTGTCACATTTTTCTCAAAATGATTTGAGCGCTCCATTTCAGTCACCGGGGAGTCAATATTGTCTGACTGTTCCATTAAAACAGCATGATGCGACGTACTACTAGAGCCTGGAGTTGAAGTGTAATTGTAAGGAATCCTGTTGGTTATTTCATTTTTGTTACTTAAACTGTCAGCAACATAACTTTCTACAATTGTGGCTGATTTCCACCCACTACGTCTCTTGATTGCTAATACATCAACTCCTGTATTAGCCAGTAATGTTGCCGATGTTCTTCGGAATGAATCGCCTGTATATGTTTCAGGATGTTCTAGTTTCAAAAAGTGTGCAATCTTATTAGGAATCATAGAAGGTATTCTTGCCGATTGGTCGGTTGTAACATCTACCTGCTTGATAGCACATAAAAAGCGTGAAATTTCAGTTTTAATTTCCAATCTAGAAACAGAATCCATACGAGAAGTAATTGTAAACGTACGTAACATACTATTTTTAGAACCTGGATATGTAACTAAAATAATGTCATCGAAATTTTTGAAATTGACGTCCAAAGTAAGTTTACATAACTCATCACAACGGGATGCTCCTGCAATGCCTAAGATAGTCACTACCTTCATTAGCATACCTATATGTATTATCGGGTGCCTGAACGAGAAAATCATTGACTTGTTCTCTAGTAAAAACGTTTGGCTCTTTATGTGTATAGCTGTCATTCTTGCATTTCAAAAATGCTCTAAGCTTAGGGTATTTTGATATATCCACGTTTTCGTCTATGAAAATAGTTGAAATATTCCATGAAATATGCTAGCAGTGTCATTTCAGAAATTTGGGCAATAAAAATTTAGAAATAATAATTCAAAATCAGCAAAATTGCAACTTTTATGTATAATTGTTTATAAACACTTTGGAAAAAACAAAATCCAAACAACCAATGCGACTTTGCAAGATTTCGAATAATGTCAAAATGTTTAAGTTGAGTGTTTTGAAAACGTCTGGGAACTTTCATTTAGCGAACAAGTTGACATGAGTGTTCGGTTTCTGTGAATGAAACTAGAGAAGAAGTGTTGAAGAATATCGGAGAAGATTTCCAAATCGTGTAATAGTCCATAGAGAAAAATTTTCCAATGTTGAAAGACGTGCTCGAGAAAAAGGCAAGTCTTTCACTTACACTCGGGAACGTGCTATTGCAGTCACGGCACAAGACGAAGAACGCATTTTGAATACAATTGAAGATGACCCACATATTAATACTAGACTTTTATCTCGACAAACTGGTATATCACAAACTTCTGTGCACCGAGTGATCCGACGTATTCTACTACACCCATTCATATCCCAAAAGTGCAAGAATTGCTACCGAATGATTTGGCAAACGAGTGAATCACCGTTAGTTTATTTTACATCAAGGCATAAATTTTCAACAGAAAATTATCTTTACCCGCAGAGGTATTACAAATTTACATAACTATCACGAGTATTGCGATGTAAACCCTCATTCGGTAACTCTATGACATTTCCAGCGCGTATTTAAAACAAATGTTTGTATCGGTGTTATTGATCGGTATTTAATTGGTCCTAAAGTAAATGGTGAAACTTATTTAGGATGCCTTCAAAATCCAGTATTTACTTGACGAGGTGCCACTACAACTTAGACTGGAACATTGGTTTATGCAAGATGGAGCACCCCCTCATTTTAGTAGTATTGTTAGAGACTTTTTAAGCTACCAGTATCCAAATAAATGGATTGAAAGAGGAAATAATTGCCCACAAGTTCAGCCTACACGATCACCAGACCTCAACAAATACGACTTCTTTCTTTGGGGAACGTTAAAAGAATTTGTGTATTTCTCGCCAGTTGCGTCTCGAGCAGAATTGTGGAATCACATTACGAGTAAATGCACATTCATTAGAAACTTTTTAAATGTTTTATCTCGAATATTCTCTTGTACTGTATTTGCCCAATCATCCCGTATATATAGGATGAGTGAACTGTATGACATGGACTTCAACATTTTCATAATTTTAAAATTTTCTTCATCTGCTAATAGGACCATTTGGTTAAAACCTAGAGGCACCGACATTAGAATAAATTTGTTAGTTTGCGGCAATGAAAAATTTATTCCATTGTTACAATGTGTCCGAGAGGAGCCCATAAAATTCTGGTCCTAAAAGACAGGACTCTAGGCGCTAATTACAAGAGTAAATACAAATACATATCAAGCGGTTCTTCGGGCTAGACTGAAAACATGTTAATTAATTTTAATTACTCCATAGACAACGTCAAATACCCACGGGCTGGAGATGCCCCGCTCGTTTCGTGGTACTGCGCTTTGTTTGGATTGGGACGGAATTTGGGATGTCGTGCGAGGTTTCTCACTCTTCAGAGATCGTTAAAATAAATCTCTTAATACTTATGGAGAAACGGAAATTTTCTGCATTTTTTGAATATCGAAGAAATATTTACGTGGATCAAGATCCAGAAAAATTGAAACGCTTCTTTACAATTATTATTATCTTTTCATTTTTCGAAAACCAACCAACCTTAAAACTTAGGCATTTATTTTGGCGTTTGAGATATGTAGCTGTCATGCAGGGTGATAAATTTGGGAATAGATGGGTCATGAAAAATGGGGTCATATCGTAAATAGTAGTAGTAGTTCAACCCTTACATGGCTGAGCTT